GAGAACCTTCTGTTCCCATTATTTTCTTTTCATCTCTGTCCCCATTCCTGGGTTATTTGGACTTCATTCGCTTCCTTGTCATTGGACATGTTCAGTCCGTTCGGTTTGCGAATTTAAATAAACACAACCAACCAACCCAACCCAGGTAATACTTGGTACTAGTGTGGGTGGCTAAATCAGAGTGGATCTGATAAAACTTCACTAGCACCATTGATTACACAAGAGTTTATCTAGCCAGAAGTAGTCCATGGTTAACAGGTATGTATACTTCAAATAGAAAGTATATGAACCCTGAAACCAACAAAGGTGGTAGGTACAACAATACACCTTCAAGCAGCCGAGCCCGTTGGCAACAGGCCCAGCACTATCTGGCATAAGTGTACCCACCAACCGAACTAGCTGGCACACACACACACACACACACACACACACACACACACACACACACACACACACACACACACACACACACACACACACACACACACACACACACACACACACACACACACACACACACACACACACACACACACACACACACACACACACACACACACACACACACACACACACACACACACACACACACACACACACACACACACACACACACACACACACACACACACACACACACACACACACACACACACACACACACACACACACACACACACACACACACACACACACACACACACACACACACACACACACACACACACACACACACACACACACACACACACACACACACACACACACACACACACACACACACACACACACACACACACACACACACACACACACACACACACACACACACACACACACACACACACACACACACACACACACACACACACACACACACACACACACACACACACACACACACACACACACACACACACACACACACACACACACACACACACACACACACACACACACACACACACACACACACACACACACACACACACACACACACACACACACACACACACACACACACACACACACACACACACACACACACACACACACACACACACACACACACACACACACACACACACACACACACACACACACACACACACACACACACACACACACACACACACACACACACACACACACACACACACACACACACACACACACACACACACACACACACACACACACACACACACACACACACACACACACACACACACACACACACACACACACACACACACACACACACACACACACACACACACACACACACACACACACACACACACACACACACACACACACACACACACACACACACACACACACACACACACACACACACACACACACACACACACACACACACACACACACACACACACACACACACACACACACACACACACACACACACACACACACACACACACACACACACACACACACACACACACACACACACACACACACACACACACACACACACACACACACACACACACACACACACACACACACACACACACACACACACACACACACACACACACACACACACACACACACACACACACACACACACACACACACACACACACACACACACACACACACACACACACACACACACACACACACACACACACACACACACACACACACACACACACACACACACACACACACACACACACACACACACACACACACACACACACACACACACACACACACACACACACACACACACACACACACACACACACACACACACACACACACACACACACACACACACACACACACACACACACACACACACACACACACACACACACACACACACACACACACACACACACACACACACACACACACACACACACACACACACACACACACACACACACACACACACACACACACACACACACACACACACACACACACACACACACACACACACACACACACACACACACACACACACACACACACACACACACACACACACACACACACACACACACACACACACACACACACACACACACACACACACACACACACACACACACACACACACACACACACACACACACACACACACACACACACACACACACACACACACACACACACACACACACACACACACACACACACACACACACACACACACACACACACACACACACACACACACACACACACACACACACACACACACACACACACACACACACACACACACACACACACACACACACACACACACACACACACACACACACACACACACACACACACACACACACACACACACACACACACACACACACACACACACACACACACACACACACACACACACACACACACACACACACACACACACACACACACACACACACACACACACACACACACACACACACACACACACACACACACACACACACACACACACACACACACACACACACACACACACACACACACACACACACACACACACACACACACACACACACACACACACACACACACACACACACACACACACACACACACACACACACACACACACACACACACACACACACACACACACACACACACACACACACACACACACACACACACACACACACACACACACACACACACACACACACACACACACACACACACACACACACACACACACACACACACACACACACACACACACACACACACACACACACACACACACACACACACACACACACACACACACACACACACACACACACACACACACACACACACACACACACACACACACACACACACACACACACACACACACACACACACACACACACACACACACACACACACACACACACACACACACACACACACACACACACACACACACACACACACACACACACACACACACACACACACACACACACACACACACACACACACACACACACACACACACACACACACACACACACACACACACACACACACACACACACACACACACACACACACACACACACACACACACACACACACACACACACACACACACACACACACACACACACACACACACACACACACACACACACACACACACACACACACACACACACACACACACACACACACACACACACACACACACACACACACACACACACACACACACACACACACACACACACACACACACACACACACACACACACACACACACACACACACACACACACACACACACACACACACACACACACACACACACACACACACACACACACACACACACACACACACACACACACACACACACACACACACACACACACACACACACACACACACACACACACACACACACACACACACACACACACACACACACACACACACACACACACACACACACACACACACACACACACACACACACACACACACACACACACACACACACACACACACACACACACACACACACACACACACACACACACACACACACACACACACACACACACACACACACACACACACACACACACACACACACACACACACACACACACACACACACACACACACACACACACACACACACACACACACACACACACACACACACACACACACACACACACACACACACACACACACACACACACACACACACACACACACACACACACACACACACACACACACACACACACACACACACACACACACACACACACACACACACACACACACACACACACACACACACACACACACACACACACACACACACACACACACACACACACACACACACACACACACACACACACACACACACACACACACACACACACACACACACACACACACACACACACACACACACACACACACACACACACACACACACACACACACACACACACACACACACACACACACACACACACACACACACACACACACACACACACACACACACACACACACACACACACACACACACACACACACACACACACACACACACACACACACACACACACACACACACACACACACACACACACACACACACACACACACACACACACACACACACACACACACACACACACACACACACACACACACACACACACACACACACACACACACACACACACACACACACACACACACACACACACACACACACACACACACACACACACACACACACACACACACACACACACACACACACACACACACACACACACACACACACACACACACACACACACACACACACACACACACACACACACACACACACACACACACACACACACACACACACACACACACACACACACACACACACACACACACACACACACACACACACACACACACACACACACACACACACACACACACACACACACACACACACACACACACACACACACACACACACACACACACACACACACACACACACACACACACACACACACACACACACACACACACACACACACACACACACACACACACACACACACACACACACACACACACACACACACACACACACACACACACACACACACACACACACACACACACACACACACACACACACACACACACACACACACACACACACACACACACACACACACACACACACACACACACACACACACACACACACACACACACACACACACACACACACACACACACACACACACACACACACACACACACACACACACACACACACACACACACACACACACACACACACACACACACACACACACACACACACACACACACACACACACACACACACACACACACACACACACACACACACACACACACACACACACACACACACACACACACACACACACACACTGCTTGGCATCATTTGCAACTTCTCTTAACCAGATTATTATTATAATTAAATCACATTTACAGATTCTTTGATCGGTGTTTGGAAACGTCTGGAAAGCGAGAGAGTGAACGACAAGCGAGCGAGGGTGAGAGACGGTTGACAATACAGGTGCAGAACAACAACCAGAAGTGGTAGATTCAAATGTCCTGGGCCCTTGATTTTCCTTTCCAGGATTGAGACACCTCCTGACGCGTCCTGACGGTGACATCAATATTGTAATGTATATTATGTGGATAATAGAAGCAGATAGAATGGGCTGGGCGAGTAATATGTTTTGCAATATTTTTAGAGGCCGCGATATGTACAAGAAAATATTTTTGGGAGGCAATAATATGTACAAGAAAGGGTGAGAAATATCGATTGTGAGGGTACACATACCTGAATGTCACCGTACACAAGGGGGGGGGGGGGGGAGCACACATAGACAGTCTTATTATTGTTATTATTATTACCTGCATAGCGGCAATGGGATGACGTTGAACGAGATGTCCACCGGGTTGCGTCATGTGGTTGACCAGTGTTGGAGACAGCGGGGACAGCTGCTGGTGGAGGTGGCTGTGAGAGAGAGAGAGAGAGAGAGAGAGAGCGCTGCGAGCCGTCGAACGAATGAGACCACTGCGAAACCTGCTGCTGCTGCTGATGCTGCTGCTGTTGTTGCTGGTGTTGCGACTGTTGATGATGCGCAGATAGGTGAGAGTATGGTGATGATTGTCCGTACTGGTGGTGGTGGTGTTGACCGACTTGATAAAGTCCTTTAAAACAAGACAATCAACAGCAACAGAAGCGGCAGCAGCAGCAGCGACGGCAGCAGCAACAGCAGCAGCGACAACATCAGCAGGGGAAACACATGAAAATCCATGGTGGCAAGCATTGATCGAGTGCATTTGGGTGAGAAAGGGCAGTTTCAAACCGAGCACCTTTACAAATCCTCACAATGTCTGTTCATGTGAATGAGGCACGCTTTCTGTTTAGATCATAAATAATGACGTCAACTTGAAATTCTGTCGGGACAGCAGGGTATGTGGGAGTTGCACACTCTTGAGGGGTTCTGTACTCAGGCTTGGTAGTAGGAGGAGGTGATGAGCGGATTCTGGGACAAGGGATGCCCTGCCCCCCCCCCTCCAAAAAGGGATATTACGGTACTCAACCAAGACCTACCTCTATGTCCTGCAGACAGATCGGCCAGCGGGGGCATGGCCAGCTATGCACCGCCCTGGGTTGCCATGACACCGAGTTACGGTGAGGCGAAGTGAGCGTGCTGTCCACCCTGCACCTGGCTGAGAATCTTCTCGTCGAAGCAGTAACAGAATCGCTTGCCTTGCACCTAGCACCACGCATTACAACAAGGCAACGAGAGAAGAACATAATTATTATAATATTAGAGAGGTTCTGCTATACATGAAACGTAGAGAAATCACGTAGAGAGCAGGTATCTGGGTTAGAGTCTACGGCTTGCGTGTTTTAGGTCCAGATTTCTACACGTAGATTAGGTTTTCTACGTCGTGGCACACACAAAGAAGACCTGCTGGATGTCATCCAAATGCCGGCAGAACACTGCCGAGTTTGGAAGGGGAACTTCCCAATACACGATCCATATCCATGTGCATCAACTCGAGAGTAGCAGTAGCAGCAGCAGCTCACCTTGTGTAGTATGCTCTTGCCATAGTAGTAGCGCATTGACCTGGACATCTTGTAGTAGTCCATGCTGGGCCTGTTCTTGCGAAGACCCCACTTGTGTGACACCTACGCACAAGAACCAATGTAATACACACATAATATTATACACAACACACAGACATTTTAAAAGTAACTTCCTCAAATTTCGCAATTATACTACTGGAGACCCGTTATATCCATGTACATGTCTTATGTGCTGACGTCACTAAGACGTCACTAGAACTCTGCATGCTGCACGTAGGCCAACCTGTGCTGCCTTGCTCTTTTGTTGTTGTTCTGTCTTCCGAGTCCTTGAAGCGACTTCCTCGTTGTTGGCTTATGAAATAGAATTATACATACCGATAACATCCTTGTCTGGTATCAGCAATTCAGTCTCGGCTAAACTGGACCCCCCCCCGTAGAGATCTCTGGATCTACCCGTGCAGTGTAGCATTGTGCGCCTATAGCTCACCCCGTCCGGATCCAGGAGTTTAAACTCTCCTCTGTGCTCCGTCCAGCAGATTATTGAGCGATGCTTCTCGTCCTGGAGTAGCTCAATCAGGAACTGCCAGAGCTGCACTTGCTGCCCGTCTGAGAAAACGTACGCCGCACAGACAAAGAGAAGAAGAACACCGTGTGCTGTCGTGGCATTGTTAGCAAGAGACATGGCGCTGGGGCTGAGGGCGGCAGTGGCAGTAATATGAGCAGTGGTGATGGTAGAAGCGGCAGTGGCTGCAGAAGTCGACTAGCGGTGGAAAGCAAAAACGGGGAGGTAGAAGCAGCTGCAGCAGCGGCAGCCACAGAAGCAGAAGTGGTGGTCGTGACGGTGGCAAAACCACCACCAGTAGCAGCAGCAGCAGCACCACCACCACCACCTCCACCAGCAGCAGCAGCAGCGGCAGCACCACCACCACCGCCAGCAGCAAGAGCGCCGCCCCCACCATCACCACCACCACCAGCAGCAGCATCAGTAGGCCAAAAACAGAGCCACTACCAGGTGATAGCATTTCAGACACTATAAGAGCCACGGTGGGTTAAACGCTGATTGAGCACTTCTCCTGCCAGTATTAAGAATATTGAGAGCAAACAGACCCAGTTACATGCCCTTACCCTGATTCTGTCCGGATGCAGGAATGATTGGCTGGTTACCAATGGCGCTGTCGGATGACTCAGCCTGTCTGGACGCCTGAGTATCACACATCAGAAACCAGGCACAACGCGAGGCTTAAACAGCGGCTCATGCTTGACACGGGAGATTGCCAAACAGGAAAATGAAGACTACTGACTGTAGTTACGCGGTACGGCACTCACCGAGTGCGTTCGATTACACACTTGAATCGATTCATGAATCCATTCGCATGCATTCAAGTCGTTCGATTTCATGTCAGGAGCCCTGGAATCGATTCGGAATCCATTCACTCTATTCACAAGGGGTGATGTGAATAGCGCGAATCGATTCATGAATCGATTCGTGAATCGATTCGCGTGCATAATCGAACGCACTCACCGAGTTGTCAGTTGCCACTGGTGTGGTCACTGCCGCTTGCACGCGCATCAGAGCTGGTGGTGGAGCGCCAATGTCTGCCTTCTCCTGTTCGGGCTGGCGCTGCTCAAAGTCCGCGCTGTCCTGGCCGTGGGAGTGCTGCGGCGCTTGCTGCGCCTGTCTGCTCTTGTTGTCGTGGATACGGTGACTGGCGGACGCCGGTGCGACGTAGCCAGGGTCGTCCGCCGCGTTGGCAGCCTGAAGTAAGCGTGCAGGCAAGCACACATGAACACACACATGCACACACACGCATGCACACACGTACACACACACGCATGCACGAACGTACACACACACACGCACACCCACACACACTCGCGTGCGCGCACACACCCATACAGTTAGTTGCAATAACGTCCGGTGATTTCGTATAGAGGAGGTGTGTGTTACAGCCATTGTTCAAGTGTTTGCCGCGATGCCGGTGAGTATGTGAACATTACTAGAGGAAAAGGCAAACACAGAGTATGTGAACATTACTAGAGGAAAAGGCGATGCCGGTGAGTATGTGAACATTACTAGAGGAAAAGGCAAACACAGAGTATGTGATCGCAATAGGCCCATCGCGCAATCACGTAATTTGTACCATAAACACCCCACAAAGCCAACTGGGGATGGTCGTGTGTGAGGTGTTGAACAGTACATTGCTGATCCCAACGTACTAACATACATTACTCATACATTCCATATTTGGCAATGCGCAATGGGCTTATGAATCAGTTATGATTCACTGCAAAACGTTCAGTCTTGGATACGATGGTGCCGTTCCGTGTAGCATACCTATATCCCCACACCACACCCAACCATTCGTTATCACATGATTGGGTTATGATCCCGTTTGACTTTGCAAAGTAAAATAAACAATACAACACAATACCTCTTGTTGTCGATGGCGTTGTGTTCCGACGACATCGACGTCCGACGTTGTACTGGCCGGACTCACCGAGCGCAGCACGGGCTGCTGCCACGTCAGCTGCGTCAGCGTCTCCGCCGCCTGAGACTCCTCGGGTGTCCCGGAAACCTCCACCGTGGCTATGGCTGCTGGGTGGTGACTTGCACTGTTGCCGCCGCCGACGACGCCGCCTCTGCGGTTGTCGTGGCAGCCACCGAGGTCGGGCACTGGGGTCGGGCAGGATGCCGCGTTCCCTTCTGAAAACGACACCAAAGCATAGTGCAAATACGAATAAGTTGAGGGAATGGAAAAAGGAAAAATTGACTGTCACCACCAGGACTTGAACAAGGGACCTTCGCTTGAGACCAGGGATGCTCTAACCACTGAGCTATGGTGTAGCTGTCATCCCAGCAGCGACCATTCAACTTTTTTTTCTTTTTTTCCCTTTTGCCATAGGGCAAAACGAATAAACGGTTTAGGCCGCTTGGATGGAGAACCAATGCGACAAGCATGACACCAGACAGACGCACGACACACGCTCGTGTGCTTGCCTGTGTGTTTCTAGACATGATGGCATGGTCATGAACTGGACAGGAATGCCTCCTTTTGAATTGTTTGTACTTTCAAACTGTAGTCATTCCGGAAATAATTCCCTTACCGGCCGCCCATAACTACCGATCTTTTATACGAAACGAAAAAGCTTCGTTGATGGGTGGGTTGGTTACGGAGGGTTTTGTTTTGGAAAAAATTGTTCAATAGAGTGGATGGTTGAGTGGGTGGGGTGGTTGGGGGAGGGTCAAAACTGAACTTGTTCGTTCGATGAAAATTATCCATAATGCCGGATGACCCCTTACCAATGTGATGCTGATGATGCTGCTGGTGGTGATCGGCATCCGCTGCCATGGCAACCTTTTCGTCGTCGTGCGCCGGCAACTCACCGCCGGCTAGGGACTGCGTGGTCGCCATGGTTGCGTGCACAGAGGATCACTGACGATAGGCGTCGGAGGGCAGCAGGGATTGCTCTGGCGACTGGTGTGACGAATATGCTCCGGACTCGGAAGCGAACAGGGATCAGTTTGCAGTACCGACGGCGGCGGACACCGATGAAGGATTATTGTTTGGCTGGCTACCGCTGCAGGTGTTGTTGTTGTTCTTAAGACTTCCGCTATTGCTCGTCTGGCTGGCACATGCAGCTTGTTCGAGCACCAGGCTGTCGTGAGAACGGAATGGCGTAGTAATTACACCTGGCGGATAAAACGAACAAGAAGAAAGGATGTTTGTTTGCTAGTTATTCTGTTTACTAGTAGTAGCTAAGTACATAATTATATTCAACTTATTTAAACAATAGGGTAAACTCACCCATTCCACAAGTCTCTGGAAATCTGAACCATTCCATTATAATGCAACGTTTCGGCACTTGGCCATCGTCAGGTAATGTACCGTGGAAGCCACACAAGAGCAGTATATATACGCAGAGTATAGCGCCAAAAAAAGATGCGAATTATGTCACCTAGTATGCAGAAGGGGGGGGGGGACAGAGAGAGAGAAGGTGCAACTAGCACATCATGGAGAAGAAGCAGCAGAAGGTAGCGCGCCATTGCACTGTGCTCTGTGAAGTGAGCGCGCGTGCCATGGCGTTACGCAGAGTGTAGCGCCAAAAAAAGGGATGCCAGTTATGTCACCTCTATGCAGAGGGGGGAGAGAAGTTTACCACCTGCATCGACGGCAGGGCGCTGGGCAGTAGCAAGCTATGACTTGTCAACTGTGAGTATGAGTCAGGTGTGAAGCAGGGAGACAGGGTGATAGGAAACAGGTGTAGAGTGACGACTTGCCCCCGATGGCGGGTCGCCGAGTCGCAGAAAAAGTCAAAGTACATGTATGTCAAGTGTGATGAAGCAGTGTGGTCAAAAAGTCAAAAAGAGGCAAGTGCAGATGGTAGCCCAGGTAATGAAAGTAGTACAGTCAACTTCGCTTATAACGACACTCGGCGGGGCATCAGCAAAGTGCCGTTATTCACAAAGGGTCGTTATACCCGAAGTCTCATTATGTATTTTTGCAGTTGGATGGGACTTTGCTCTGGGCATGGAAATTCTGTCGTTATTCGCGAATTGTCGTTATATCCGCAGTCGTTATTAGCGAAGTTGACTGTATACTAGTACATGTATATGTACAGTATGGTGTAATATTATGCTATATGCATTATAGAAGGTCCCAGCCGGTGCTTGTGTTAACTGGTGGCTTGGTGTCACGTATTTCAATGGCCTCACGAAGCTTGCGACGGGCTCTGTCGGGCTCTCTGGCGATGACGGAGACTTCCGAGAATGCACTTTCTCCGCAAGCCAAAGTGCAGTCAGGGTGCTTGGTTCTGTAATGGTCCCCCCAGGGCTTGTCTACTGTCCTCCTTCGTGCGTCTCCAGTGTGCTCATCCAGCCGGGTCTCAAGGAATCGCTCCGTCTCGTCAACATATTGCTGTACACATTTCTTGCATTTTGTTTCGTATACCACAATTTTCTGCATGCAGGCATCCTGGGCCCCCGTCTGGCATGTCAGGCACGGTCCATTGGGCCGACCTCTCGTTCTCCGCTGTGTTGGGTTTTTGGCTTTAAGGCATAATGGACGTACTAGGGCAGACTGGCACAATGTAAGCTTCAGGCTTCCAGCATTCTCGTACACGACTCTGACGGGTATTTTATATTTTCGTATGGCTTTGTTTACAGCATAATCCACTTGGTCAGATTTGTATGGTAATTTCAAGAAGGCACTGGATGGGTTTGTCCAACGCCGACGCTTTGGCTTGCTAGCTCGTGTGCGCGCCTCGTTGATGACAAAAAGTCGTCACTCTACACCTGTTTCCTATCACCCTGTCTCCCTGCTTCACACCTGACTCATACTCACGGCCGACTAGTCATCGCTTGCTACTAGTACTGTCCAGCGCCCTGCCATCGGTGCAGGTGGCAAACTAACTTCTCCCCCCCCCCCCCCCCCCTCTGCATAGAGGTGACATAACTCGCATCCCTTTTTTGTCGCTACACTCTGCGTAACGCCATGGCACACGCGCTCACTTCACAGAGCACAGTGCAATGGCGCGCTACCTTCTGCTGCTTCTTCTCCGTGATGTGCTAGTTGCACCTTCTCTCTCTCTGTCCCCCCCCCCCTCCTGCATACTAGGTGACATAATTCGCATCCTTTTTTGGCGCTATGCTCTGCGTATATACTGCTCTTGTGTGGCTTCCACGGTATTCATTGTCATTGCCTGACGATGGCCAAGTGCCGAAACGTTGTATTATAATGGAATGGTTCAGATTTGCAGAGAATTGTGGAATGGGTGTGTAAATACTATGAAACTGCAGGCAGCCTCAAAACTTCTTCTCTGTATTTATCTTCTCACATTAAACGGCCACTGGGCCCAATGACATGAAGGCAGGTACGGAAGGAAAGAAGCAAAGGAGGAAGGGAAATAAATGACAGGACGACAGAAGGGTTTACCGGGTGTTAGCGGTCGTCGTGAGTTCCCTTCGGGAACGGACACGATAATTTACTTTTTTAATTTTTTTACGACAGAAGAAAATCACAAAGCGAAATAGCCCAGGCTCCAGCGCTCAGGAAGTGACAGAAACCGCGCGCACGCACACACACACACACACACACACACACACGCACACATGCACACACACAAACACACACACACATAAACACGCAAACGAGCGCTCACTTGAGGGTGTCGGAGGAAATGTCCTTTCCTCCAGGCCCATGGATGTGTGAGCGCTTGGAGCAGCTCCACTCTGCTGTTGCTGCTGCTGCTGCGGTTGCTGCTGTTGCTGCTGCTGCTGCGGTCGATGGTGATGATGATGCTGGTCGTGTAGGTGATCTCCAGTGGTTGGCGGAAGTGAGAACGCAAGGCTATACCCCTGCGATGGTGTCTCTCCCGCGTGGTGATACGCACCGCTTGTGCTGGCGGTCGCTGGGCTGTAGCCCAGGTAATGGGGGGGGGGGGGGGAGGCAAAAGCGCCCCACCTTGATTTTACAGCCTGAGAAAGGAAAATCGTATGGCAGAGTGCAACGAAGTTTGCACGATGTACTACGGTCACGCTTGGCAGGGTTTTGTGTAGAGCTTGTTTCCGCTCGAAGGTACGGATTGACTGCAAAACGTGCTATATGTTTACAAGGTTAATGTCGTATGATCTACAGACAGCAGACCACCTCCACAATACGACCACGAAAGGATGAGCTGGTGGGGCGCTCTGGCGGTACTTTACCGTACATGTAGAGTAAAACCTGTAACTAAAGACCACCGTGACTAGCGACCAGCCTGGTACTACAGTAAAACCTGTAACTAAAGACCACCGTGACTAGCGACCAGCCTGGTACTACAGTAAAACCTGTAACTAAAGACCACCGTGACTAGCGACCAGCCTGGTACTACAGTAAAACTTGTAACTAAAGACCACCGTGACTAGCGACCAGCCTAGTACTACAGTACAACCTGTAAATAAAGACCACCGTGACTAGCGACCAGCCTATATTTAGGACAGACCACTTTTTTTACATTCATGGTTGTGCGGTGCAAACCTCTAACTAAGGACCACCTGCCACTAAAGACCGCTTTCTCTGGCCCCAATGGGTGGTCGTTAGTCACAGGTTTTACTGTAGTAACCAACCGACCGTACATATAGCCATTACAAGTGTGTTGAGAGCCTACGACTACGTTCTCGAGACCAACTCAACACTGGCATAGTCCTTGATGGATGCAAACAGCAAAGCCTCAATTAGAGCGGAAGAAAGGAAACAATGCCGTCAATCATCATCAGACTGGATAAATAATGTGTAGGTATAGAACAAGAGAGCTTGGAAGCTCAGGGCCCTACGCTATGCTCTTTTGCCTAGCTCATCATGCATGTTATTAGAACTGATGGAAATGTTGTTGTTTTCCATTGATTGGCTACATCAAACTTTCTCTTTCCATTCGAGGGTAATATGACACCGTCTACTCCAGTCTCTACAAACCAGGCTTGCAACAGCCCAATAGACCTCTAAGCCACATTATTATAACTATTCTCTGCTTTCCACCTGTCTACAGGGGAGAAAATGCACTGATTTTGGCTTAGAAGTGGCTAATTGCATACACGTTACCGCGGTAACCGTAGAAATTCGAGAAATTCCTGTGACAAGGAAGCCGACAATCCTATAAACTTCTGGTTTTCAATAATAGTCTTGAAAAGAGCTCGCCTTCCAACAAGGTAACTTTTTTCTCCAAAATTGTATCGGCTTTGCCTCAGAAACGGCTAATTGCACACAGGTTACCATAGTAACCTAAGCAATTTTGGAAATAGCTCATAACTTCCAAACGGACAACATTGGGAACTTCTAGTTTTCTCCAAAATTCCTATAGTGGGTCCGCCTCTTCGAATTTGAAGTCAAATCTTTCCTGGACGAGGTGTCAAATGCAACTCCTCAATAAAGCGACTTATCGGACTTGGCCCCAGCACTAAAAACCTGGGATTCGAATCCGCACTATCGCCCTGCATGCATTCCCCCGATACACTTCGCGTACATACTCATTCTTCCAAGTTGCTTCACGTTATGATCTTGCATTTGAAAGCCCTATTTGAATATTGTGGCCAGCTGTCTTTGATGGTACGGTACGTTACTGAAGTAACGTCTTTTGCATAGCTATGGGAATAAAATTGAATGGATCTTCCCAAGTTGTACATTGTACTGTTGAGATACCGAATTCAAATAAATCAATACCATAAATCAATACCATACCAATGTTTGCTCCCCACACCGGAGGTCGCTATCTCGTAAAAAAATCAAAATATTGATAATAATTTAAATTATGCTTAGCAGAAGGACACACTGCAGGATCTTGAAAGTTATCGCTACTATACTCTCAAGCCTTATCGCCAGGGGAAACACGGGCAAGAGTAAATGAAATGAAGGACAATAATTTAAAACCGTACCCTTTTCTACTGCGCTCCCCGCCTCTGTGGCCTCTAATCGAGGTGGAAGGCTGTTGGTTTTGTGCACCAGAAATGTGTCACGTGGGGCTAGGTGTCACATTGTTCAATGTCTCAGTACTCTCATGTCAAGTTAAAGTGGTGTTAGTCAAAGTGGTTCTAATTATAGTCGGGGAAACTGACAGAGTACTGAGACACTATAACTTTGAAGTAGGACACACTTCACACACTTCAGGCTCTTGAAAATTGCATTCTTGTCTCCAAGGAAATTGCACACTTTTCCTTGATAGTATCATTAAGTTATCAAGTTGAAGTGGTGGACAGTTACTCAGAACTTGGGTCCTTAAAAGTATTGTTTACTTTCTTTTTTACGGTAAATTTTATTACTGGCTCAACCGTAAAAACAAGCGTTTTTCAAACACATGTTCCGTAGTTGCATATTCTAGTATGTGTATCTGTCTTGCTAGGCAAACTAGACCCGCACGAGCAGAACCATCTGTTGAGCATTGCTTGGGCGTACAGCATTTTCCAGGGAGCAATTCTGGAACGCTATTTAAACCGATCAACCGGCCAATGCCTGGGACCCTGGTACGGCAGATTCCCGCAGTTAATCAAACATGGGTTTTACAATGGCTGTGTATCACAGCTAGTCAGCAGCTTGCACACGGTCTAGGTTAATCGCTCATCGAAATCTGGATCCCAATGCCGGTCAGCTCACCCGTCAGCCTCCCGTTTCAACCGAAGGGGGCGTTATTTTTGACTCTGCCAGTGAAGCTGCTGTTTCCTGATCTGTTGCTGGTGATCCTGTTGGTATAATTGCCGGAGCGGGAGTTGCTAATGTTGTTGCTGCTGTTGCTGTTCTTGTTGTTGCTGTTGCTGCTGCTGTTGCTGTTGCTGTTCTTGTTGTTGTTGCTCCTGCTGCTGTTGCTGCTGTTCTTGTTGCTGCTGCTGCTGCTGCTGCTGTTCTTGTATCTGCTGCTGCTGCTGCTGCTGTTCTTGTATCTGCTGCTGCTGCTGCTGTTCCTGCTGCTGCTGTTGATGCTGCTGCTGCTCCGGTTGCTGTCGCTGTTTCTGCTGTTGCTGCTGTTCTTGTTGCTGTTGCTCCTGCTGCTGTTGCTGTTGCTGCTTTTTCTGATAGTCGTTTGTTTCCGTGTGCGGGGGTACCGACACTCTGACCACCGGTGGGTTTGCTTTGCTGTTTTCCGGTGCTGGCGGCGGTCGCGAGTGGCTGGTGAGCTCATCATGTAGTTGCAAGTAGCCGTCCTTGTCGAAATCCGGGTCATCGTAGCTCTCCGTCTCTGACGGAGAGCCTGAGCTTGGCGGCAGAGACAGCTTGCTTGGCGAAGCAACTAGGAGATCGGCATCGGCATGCAGCGCATCATCAGTTGCCATTGTCTCCATTGCACTGGTGGTGTTCAGTGCTGGTTCAGCGGATGCCATTCCGATATTGCTCTCGGCCGGCAGTGCGTTTGCAAAGTCTTTACTTGAGCCTGTAGGTGCCACCGCCACTGCGTCATCTTCATTGTCCAGAAGTTTGAGGTACTCGCGACCTCCGGTCTTGCCACCGTCACGAACACTGCTCGTGTCGCTCTCATCACTCTCCTTTTCATTATCCGTACGGCTAACGGCCGCTTGCTGGCCGTGGTGTACGTCAACGCTTATACCCGCATGGCTGCCTTTGTCTTCGTCATGGGTTTGTTCAGAAGCGCTTCCATCATTGTCAACATCATTGTCATCGTCGGATTCCACACCTGGGGGGCCATTCACAGCTGCTTTGACCGATTGCGTCCCTGTACCGTCATCCGTATTGAATGTTGCCAACTCCGTTTCGTCCATTATATTCGTGGCAGCTTCCACATCGTCGCGGGTGGCAGCGGCATACGCGTAGATCAGGCCCAGGCCACCGTCGATCTCCTCGTACTCCGGCTCGTCGCTGCGGCTCATGCCGTATGCCGAGTTGTTGGCGAGACTCATCATGGCGCGGAGCTGCCCCGGTGTGCGGGTCGCAAAAGAGGCGTTGCCTATGGCTGCCCGCTTGCGTTGTTCTCTCTTCTGTGCCAAGGCCCGTCGTCTTCTCCAGACGAAGACGACAATTATGGCGAGCAGGCCGAGAAAGCCAAATGCGGAGCCCACTGCAATCACTACAGTATTTACTGTGGAGAGAGAGAGAGAGAGAGAGAGAGAGAGAGAGAGAGAGATAGAGAGAGAGAGAGAGCAGGTCATGACGTAATCCATGCACATGCATGCGCACACACACAGACACACACACACACACACACAGACACACACACACACACATGCAAGCGTGCACAATGTACAGACACAAACACACCGTATGACGATCATTATTATTTTAGTTTGAATCCAATGCACTTGAACGTGTCGTGCACAGCAAAGCTACGACACAAACGTATTTTTCTCCTGTCAGATACGCAGTACAATTGCTAGCGCCGAATGTTTCTGTAACAGTTGATGCTCAGACGAAGCACGACACTTTAAAACTGATGTAAAGAGAAAAGATCCACCGTTCACTCCAGAACTGTTACTAACATGTTACCACATCCCTCATCTGAAAAATCAAAGACGGGTGTATGCTGCCAGGGTCATAGGGCGGTGTATCAATTTTTGGCATGCAAATCTTTCGCCCTGAGGTTCGGCCTCATTTCCTCCGTGCAGCGCTCATGCGTCCACAACGGACGAAACAGCATGCTGTCCGCAGGTTGAGTTTACAAATCTTTTAAAGGAATTGAATCTTTAAAAGAACCCAGATGGTGAGCAAAGGAAACAAATTGTAACATGGAAAAATGTGGGCACAAGTTATGCGATCAAGTCCACCAACTAAACCAGATTTTGTACGGTCGGACGTGCACAATCTAACACAAAACTGACCAAGACTGACTGTCCCAAACCAGATCTTAGTTGATGGACTCAATTGCATAACCGGTGCGCACATTTTTCATTGTCACGGCGAAATTGAACTTCTTTGTAACTTACTTTCACAGACATCAATCGCACTGTTCGCTGCCGTGCTCTTTATGTATCCCACAGGGCACTTGCAGACGAAAGACTCACACGTGTTCTCACACGTCGCCGACTCGTGACACGAGGAGGAGTTGGAGCACTCGTTCACGTCTGCACAGCGACCTCCGCTTTCTGCGCAAGTCAGGAACGAGATCAACATGATACACTCAGGGAGTCAGACCTAGTGGTCGGAAGCGGAATTCCCGGAAAACAATAGGACGTGCATTTTTTTCAGCTGGTGCTCATCTACTGCATGTGTATGCAAGTATGTTAACACAAATGCATACATTCGCGTGCACATACACATAAGTGTGTGCACATGCATGCGTGCACACACACACACACACACACACACACACACACACACACACACACACACACACACACACACACACACACACACCATTTTGACCATTTGACGCATATCGCCGAAGGCGATGATAGCGATGCTACAGCAGAAGCCGTAGCAACTTGTACTGGGATTGCACCATTCAACAGTTTGCAAGGCTGAAGAATTGACCGCCATTATTCAGCCTGGTCTACCCCACACAGCTATGAAGTGGCTTTTTCTGGCCATTGAATCCCCCCCCCCCCACACACACACACACGCACACACACAATTCACTGGCTTACCTTTGGGGCATGACGAATCCTGGCCGGATGACTGATCAGACGGATTCTGTGATTCATATCCGGCCCGGCATTTGCATGAATACGTACCCCTTTCGTTCTGACATTCATCGGGAAAGACACACGTGTTATTTTGGGGCGGCATACACTCATCAATATCATTGCACGCCTGCAGCTCTGGTAGGACAGAGAGGACAATGGTACAAATATACAAATAATTATACAAAATATACAAAGTGTCTGTAGTCTTCGCTGCAAACAGTGCTCAACTCCTCAAAAAGGGGCAAAGCTTACCACATGGGGCAGAACAACACAGACCAAAAATCTTTCTCGTAACTCCGAGTTTTTGGTCTTTGTTGTTGTGCCCCAATATACTTCGAAGTACAAAATATACAAATAATTATACTAAATGTACATTGACATAGCACAACCAGCCACACACATAACAAAGGTCATGCGAATGACTCATAATAGGACGTTTGCCACTCAGAAGTCAATAAGTTATCACTTTTGCAACTCGGAAGTCAATAAATTATCACTTTTCCCACTCAACTGGCTTCCATATTAGGGCTTTTTAAAAGAGTATCTCAGTACACAGTTGTCCCAGTGAGCCACTCAACTGTCTTCCTTTACGGTAGAGGTGAAAGTTGGCACTGAGATCCCGGGTTCGAGTACTCTGATTTTCTCCGATCAAATATTCGAGTATTCGAGTATTCTTCATCTCCTGAAAATTGCACACCAGGGGCGTTAAAATCACATGATACAACCCTGATCGAAGCGAGTAGCAGTCATTTTTTCTCGGGTATATCGGTTGGTGGGTCTTTCGGGCTCTCTCTCTACTCGTGAACAAATGTTCACCACACAGTCTGCACATCAATATCTGCTGACTGCTGCTCTGAAACTGCAGATATCTGTAGTAAATGCATGTAACATGCATAAACGAGTACTCTGATTTATTCCGAGCACGATTATTTTTGAACTCGGGCATTCGGTATAATTTTTTCAGCCCTACTTTATGGCAATGTATGATGTAAGTCCCTAACCTGACACACACACACACACACACACACACACACACACACACACACACACACACACACACACACACACACCATTGGACCATTGGACGCCCATCGCCGGAGGCGATGATAGCGATGCTACAGCAGAAGCCATAGCAACTTGTGCTGGGATTGCACCATTCAACAGCTTGCAAGGCTGAAGAATTGGCCGCCACTATTCAGCCTGGTCTACACCACACAGCTATGAAATGGCTTTTTCTGGCCAGTGAATCCCTACTTTTTGGTCTTTTTAATGGAAGTTTCCGGAGGAGGAAGGAGGAAACTGTAGTTATCACCAACCCTCACCGCGCCCAGCTCACGCCGCTACGGCGTGCGACCTGAGCTGGGCGCCCTGCCCAGTATGGAACTGTCCTCAAGCCAGTCACGTATTTGGCAGCCCAGTGAGCTGTCTACCGGATCGCAGCGTTTGGAAGTGCCAAATGCGGCAGGGCCAGTCTCAGGCTGGTCACGTAGGCGGCAGGCCGGCGGGCGACCGGCAAGGCTGCATTCGCATTTGGATCACCGAAGTGATACAGGTGCTTCGACGGCACTCCGTGGCGCAGCAAGGAGGCATCTGGGGCCCAGGCAGCCCGCCCGTAAGCGCACCACCGTATCAGGTATGCGCAGGTGGAGCAGCAGAGCAAGATGTGTGCCGGACACTCACCATCATCCGGTCGACTGCATGGTTGTGCGACTTTACACAGCCGTCACTCATTACTTGCTATTGCTTGCAGAAGGCCAGAATTTTTTTTCTTTTTTCGCTCTTTCCCTTCTTCCAGGCACGGCTTCATGTTAGAGCAGTAAATTGCAGTTAGGGACTCAGCTGAGTCAAGCTGGACTCAGCGTGTCAAGTTTGGCATAATACACTAAGCGCGCTATCCCCAAACAGTTGTGTGGTTATTGTGTGAGTGTATATGCAGGAGTCCGCGGTCACGTGAGGGGGGAGTGATAATTTATTTTTCCCGCACATACATCACACCACATACTCCGGCATGCACTGGCTGTTGGTAACCACCCAGGAGAATGAAAGAAAAGTCAGGAGGAGTCTGAGAAAGAGAAGAAAGACGTGTGTGACCATAATCGTCGGGAATCGAACCCGCAACCTATCGATTAGAAATCGCTGCACATACCACTGCACCATATGGGACACACACACACACATACACACACATACACACACACACACACACACACACACACACACACACACACACACACATATATATATATGCTGCTATACACATTCACACATGGTACTAATGTTAGATAAACCTTGTTTTAGTTCACACATGTTGTTGGTTTGACAGCATGAACAAGGTGGAGCTCTACCAACGGTGGATGGTTGTAGAAAGGTCACTGTTTCCGAACACGGTGTCCTCCACCTTGTTTCATGCTGTCAAACCAACAACACATTCACACATCCAAAATCGGACTAGAACCATTTCAAAACGGGAAGCCTAATTTGGATTCAGATATAGACCGCACATAAGATGAATCCTTTTTGGCCGCTGTCCGAAAAGTAATGAAACGGATTTATCGGGTTTTGCATTCCCCCTGTTCACGTGCAGTCGTGTCAGCATCATTGTATTGTATTGTATGGAATTTATTTACATCAGTGGCTCAATAGTACAATGTACTACTGAAAAGAGGCCCGAAAAACCGATCACATTGGAGATAAAAAAGGAAAAAAGAAGGAGCAAACCAAAAACTAGATGAAGTGAGAAAAACAACAAAAGGAACAGGACTATATCCTGCTGTTGGATGTCTCCGGACAGCACTGCATATACATGTTCAGAGGCGTCGAGCAGCATTTTAATGTGTACAATTTACTCGTGGGGTTGGGGTGGCTCCTCGAGTAACTTCGAAATTTAGAGCCCAAACCAGTGCATTTTATTGATCCACGAGGTAGAGGGGACGGTTCGATACCGGAGCGGCTTGCCAGAAAAATTTTTATAGACCCAAAGCGATCATCAGCATGAATTGTTCACTCGAAATATGTTTTGGAAGGAAACTGGCATGTTGAAGTTTGCTCTAAGGCCGAGTCAATCGAACTGAGCCACTCCTTTGTGTTGGCCCACTGCCTCCAAGTTGCCCAATTTTTCGCTTCAAATCAGAGGTGGCTCCAAACCGGAAAGGTTTCAGAGTGCACGTCAAATTCACTCTGAGTTCGGAAATTAGGTAATTGCTATCGCTCCACGACGGCCAGTACAGAGTAACAATAAGCCTTGTGTGTGCTTCCATTAGTTTTCATTGGTATAAGGTGCTATATTGGCGAGAGGCGGGCCTCTGTTTACCTGCGACAAGAAGCTGATTTTTCGAAAGACGTAAAACTCAAGTCGCAGTGCGAAGCAACACGTCAAAAACTCACCTGCTTGGTATGGCGCTTCTGGTCATCACAGAGCCATGACATTTTGGCTCGGAGTATAACACATCGTAGTCTCACTGTGACATATGTTTTCTAATCAAAATACCAAGAGAGAGAGAGTGAATATTGAGTCCGTTCCGGCTTGCAACCTATTTCCTATTTGAAACCGTCGCCTCTACCGGACTCAAAGAGTGGCACCGTGCAGGCCCGGTGGAACCAGTCTGGCTGGTCAGCCCATAGCCGGACCAGCGTTTTGGCTACCAACGTGTGTTGTTGACTGCTGGTTAGGTCATGTATAGCCACCATATCATACACAAACTGTATGAAAGGCTAGGGTTTGGCAGGACCAATCAAGCGCTCCTTCCTCCGGTCCTGGAGTGGTCAATACTGCAGTGACTGTGGCATGCGTCCAACGCCCCTGATGTTCCACCGCTCCCTGTCTCGCTCATCAGTGCCGCATGCCCCAGAATCAGAGTAGCAAAACTGTACAGAAGTTACTCGATCAGCGGACAGAACTGTTTCGTCCTTCGTGGACTCATCAGCGCAGCACAGAGGAAATGAGGCCGAACCTGATAGCAATGAAAAATAAAAATTTCCAACGTCATATTCAAACCAGGCCCGACCGTACCTTGCCAGAGTGCTCAAACTGACAAGTCAGTGAGCTCTGCGTAACGCAAACAGCACATGCACTACCCCACGTGTGTTATATTTGTGCCACTGTGTATGTATGCTCAGATCTAGATGAGTGCGAGGAG